GAATTTATTTGTTTTTTTTCTTTCCTTTATTCAGTCCAGTATTGAGGGTTAGCTGGCTTAATGTGGTGTGTAGGAGTCATGTGGTTCTGAGGCATGAGGCAATTTACTGCTTCACATATTAACTAAGATTATTTAGGGCCATATTTTATGAGTAGATATTTGGCATGTTGGAGCTTTGTTATCTGGGTAATATGAGCCTTAAATAGTTTTTGTTATCTATATACTCAGTTTGGTATGTGCGAGCCGTGTGGTTCTGAGGTATGTATTACTTCTTTAGAATTATTTATTAATATATTACAAACACATTAATTAAATAATATTTATTTCCCTATTGAATACTTATTTAAACATTCTAAGCTTGATTATATCAGGCTAAGCTGACTTTGGGTGCTCTATATTTGTGAAGCGCCTTCATTTGCTCTGTCTCTGTGCTCCTCAGTCTTAAGTTACAAACATTAGGCAGAATTGGCATTTTCTCATTTCAAGTGGTTACTGTGTCCATTCCCACTGGTTGTTGAGACAGAAGTCTTGTGAGGACACATGTGATTGATAATTTTGTGATCGACATAGTTCTACCTACTTGAATATTGAATACATATTTACATTTAAGGTTTAGTGAATAGTTGGTAATCTCTGTATGTGGATAATTCAGTTGAGATATCCCTCACACGAAGGCTTATAATAAAGGATATTCCCAATACAAGCAGAATTTGGTGTTAAGAGGTTTCTTTTTTCTTTTCTTTTCCACTTTTGCATTTATCGAAATACTGAACTAATTTGCCTGTACTGCTATTCAATGAGTAATTTAGCATTTTCTTCTATTAGTAATAAGAAAGCACAAACACTTTTCTAATAATATTAAACATAATAGACTCAGTTAATCTGGAATTGTTCGGTCAGATCCTCTTTAATGGGATCACACTAGATACTGTAGGGTTTGGCCCTATTCTTTTGGAGAAGTCTCTGTTCAAGCGACCTCTCTCTTCCCTAAACACACACTCTCTACACCTCCTAAAGACACTACATCTCCTATGCACACTACACCATATCCACACCACACATTTACTATACCCCATGTACACTTACTATGCCCCCTATATACACATTACAGCACCTATACACACACTGTCATTCTCTATAGCCCAAAGCCACACATATTACACTACAACATAACTTAAAAAATCTATTTACACAAAACACCACATCACAAACAGTTTACTCTACATTCACGCAATGTCACAAGCAGTCTCCACACACATGCACAATACTCTTTCCTGACCCTTTTGTCTTCTCATTTGGCATCCCATTTATTGGGGCACCAGAGACACGTTATAAACCAACACAGCACAAGCATGTCATTTAATTCACTTGCGCTACACAGAACAAACACAGGGCCTTTTTCTCATGCATCAGCTCTTCAACAGGGAAGAGTATAGAACCAACAAGCTCCATGCTCAATTTCAGTAGGGGTGGGCTCAGTGGCGTACTAAGGGGAGGGTGGAGGGGGGGCGGTCCACACTGGGTGCCACAAGGTAGTGGGGTGCCACCAGGGCTGGCCTTGGGTGTACCAGCTGTGTGGCTGCACAGGGCGCCATGGCATCAGGGGCGCCAGGCAGCCACACAGCTCACACGAAGGGGCTGACAGGAGAACAGCAGGAGAACTTCAAGGAGCCAAATTGGCTGTGGGGGCATAGCTACATCAGACAGCCTCCATTTGCTGCTCTTACTGCTGCACACTAAGGGGGAAGCAGAAAGAAGTCCCTACTTCCCCATCAACTAGACACCAGGGACTGCCTGTAACTGTGTGTGTGACTGCCTGTGACTTTGTGTGTGATTGTCTGCCTGTGACTGTCTGTGACTGTGTGTGCGACTGTCTGCCTGTGACTGCATGTACGACTGTCTGTGTGTGACTGTGTGTGTGACTGTCTGCCTTTGACTGTGTGTGTGACTGTGTGTGTGGCTGTCTACCTGTGACTGTGTGTGTGTGTGTGTGTGTGACTGTCTGCCTGTGACTGTGTGTGACTTTCTGCCTGTGACTGGGTGTGACTGTTTGCCTGTGGCTGTGTGATGCTTCCTGTAACTGTGTTACAGTCTGCCTGTAATTGTGCCTGTTTACAGTGTGTATGTGTGACTGTCTGCCTGTAGCCGTGTGTGTGTGTGTGTGTGTGTGTGTGACTGTGCCTGCAACTGTTGGTGTGGGACTGTCTTCCAGTAACTGTGTGTTTGACTGTGTGCGAATGTTCCTGTGGCTGTATTTGACAGTCCATGTGTAAAACGGTGTGCATCTGACTGTCTTGGCTCTGCAGTGAGCCAGCAGTCGGGATATAACATCATCCCACCATCGGCGTCATTACAGGGTGCGTGAGGGACCTGTGCAGTAGTATCCCATCAGCAACCATTGACAACCAAACTGAGGATCCATTCCATCCCTCCCAGAGTATGGTAGGGAGGCTGGGTGGACTATCGACTGTACGACTGTCTGTGTGTGACTGTGTGTGTGACTGTCTGCCTTTGACTGTGTGTGTGACTGTGTGTGTGGCTGTCTACCTGTGACTGTGTGTGTGTGTGTGTGTGTGACTGTCTGCCTGTGACTGTGTGTGACTTTCTGCCTGTGACTGGGTGTGACTGTCTGCCTGTGGCTGTGTGATGCTTCCTGTAACTGTGTTACAGTCTGCCTGTAATTGTGCCTGTTTACAGTGTGTATGTGTGACTGTCTGCCTGTAGCCGTGTGTGTGTGTGTGTGTGTGTGTGTGACTGTGCCTGCAACTGTTGGTGTGGGACTGTCTTCCAGTAACTGTGTGTTTGACTGTGTGCGAATGTTCCTGTGGCTGTATTTGACAGTCCATGTGTAAAACGGTGTGCATCTGACTGTCTTGGCTCTGCAGTGAGCCAGCAGTCGGGATATAACATCATCCCACCATCGGCGTCATTACAGGGTGCGTGAGGGACCTGTGCAGTAGTATCCCATCAGCAACCATTGACAACCAAACTGAGGATCCATTCCATCCCTCCCAGAGTATGGTAGGGAGGCTGGGTGGACCTCTTAATTATTAAATGTGTGTATGTATGTGATGTTTGTGTGTGTATGTCTAATTATGTGTGAATGTAATTGTGTGTCTGTGAGTGTATGTGTGTGGGTGATTGTGTCTGTGATTATGTGTGTGATTGTGTGTGTATCTCTGTGGTTAAGTGTGTGTGTTGTGAGTATGTGTGTTTATGTATGTGATTGTGTGTGTAGGTCTGTGATTGTATGTGTGGGTCTGTTATTGTGTGTGTATGTGTGTCTGTGGTTATGTGGGTGTATGTCCCTGATTGTGTGTGTATTATGTGTGTATAAACAGATTTGTGATTTCTATGGGAAAATCAAGTCTTATGGCTTGACTGGTGTGCAGATTTTTGTTTAACATTGTATTAACTATCCACAGACTTCAGGTGGAAGGGGTTTTCAATCACATTTTTCCCCCCACCATAACCTATTTGGACTACGCTTCCCAAGCACTACCAAGCCTCAATAAGCAAACCAGTAACTGACCTCATGCTGATGATTTGCATTAACAATAAAACAGCTGTGCATGAGTTCACTGGCTTTAAAATAATTTGCATATGCCCACCCAGAATCCTTTGCGGTAGTAACATCGCTGCAGATTTGTGATTTCTGTGGGAAAAGCAAGTCTTATGGCTTGACTGGTGTGCAGATTTTTGCTAAACATTGTATTGTACGCACACACACAACCACATATATACACATACACAGACAAACATCTATTGTGTTATTGTGTGTGTATATAAATGTGTATAGGTTTAGTAGATATCTCCCTTATTTGGTGTCCTTAAATTTTGCAATCCCACATAAGGATAACAAATAAGAGAGTTATCTATTAAATAATTGAAAGATTAAAATGAAGAAAAGGCCTTTTTTTAAATCTTGATCTTCTAGCTGTTTAGTAGATAATTCCCTAAATTGGTCACCTTTATGTGAGATTTCCATATTTAAAGATACTAAATTAGGGTGCTGTTTAGCAGATAGTTCTGTTATTTGGTGTCCTTAAATATGGCAATCCCATATAAGGATAGCAAATAGGGGAGTTATCTAATAAACAAAGATCGAAGTGAAGAGGTGTCAGCCAGCCCACAACAAGAAATCTGGGTGGCTAATGTGAATTCTATGCAAATTTGTTGTCTGATGCCAGCATGCACATCAGATAGAAAATGACAGCACATTACCTCATCCCCTAGTGAAAAGTTTTAGTGCTCCTCCCCACCCGTTTTGACTGTTTTGTATCTTATGTGCCCCCTTATATATTGTTCCTAGAGTTGCCACTGTGTGTCTTCATGTGTGTCAGTGTATGTCTGTGTACCTTGTGTGACTGTGTGTCTATCTATCTGCATGTGTGCACCTGTGTGTATATGTATCTGCATGTGTGTATGTCCGTGTATGTGTATATGTGCATCCATCTCAGACTCTTGCCAACACTACACACAAATACACCTCTACATTTCAACATCAACACTACATACAAATCCCACCATTATATATAACCACACCACTGCATTCACAAACCACACTACACACAAAAGCATGCTTGCATTCAAACGCCAACACTGCATACAAACACACCCCTATATTCACTCATACATACTCCATACAAAAACATGCTTACATGCAAACACACAAACACTGCTTAGTGCTAAATACATTTTTTTTTAAATGAGGTTGTTTTTTTACATTTTAAAGTTGGGGGGGGGTCCCAAAAATAGGACATGCCACAGGTGCCAAATGCGCTAAGTACGCCCCTGGGTGGGCTTGTCATTGGTGATGACACAAAGCCCCCCTTTCTGGTCCAGCCCCCTCCCACCATGTGTGATTAAAAATGCCTAGGCCCATTTTTTTTCCTAGCCTGGCCATGTTAGTGAATAAGAGGCCCAAGAAAGGCCAAAACGATTGTCCTGGGTTGCTGTATCTCAATAGAACATGCTAGCATTTCGGTTCTGCACTGCCCTTATGGGTGGGATAAGCCTGATATGCACATGCTATAGGTTCTCTTTGTAATGGCACAAGATTTTGGAAATATTTTTGAGATCTGAGCGAGAACTAATTGAAGGGCAAGCTTTTCCTTTTCTCTAAGCTTTTGCCCGTTCTCAGAAATCTCATATTCTCTGTAATGTATGTAATGTACTACAGAAGAGTTCCGCAGAGTAGCTGTTGACATTATAGTTGCGCAGGCAATTTGTTGACTATAGAGAACCTTGGGCCAATCGCACATCCCCGTGGCGGCGACTTTGCATGCGGATGTCATCCATATTTTGATGCCATTTTCTGCGCTTACCATGGTGACCACGGGTAACGGGGAATCAGGGTTCCATTTCGTACAGGGACCCTGAGGAACAGCTACCACATCCAAGGAAGGCAGCAGGCGCGCAAATGACCCATTCCCGACGCGGGAAGGTAGTGATGACAAATAACAATACAGGACTCTTTAGAGGCCCTGTAATTGTAATGAGTCCACTTGAAATCCTTTAAGTCTGATCAATTGGAGGGAAGTCTGGTGCAGAGCCACTGACCTGTGCGTGCTGCAGCTGAAACTCCACTATCGCCTGCTGCTGCTCGCACAGTCTCATGAGGCGGTGAGTGGGAAGGCCGAAGTTACGCTGCAGCGCAGACAGGCAAGCAGCAGCAGGGTGAGAACGCCAAAAGCGCGCACAGCCGTTACAGTGAATGTCACATCCTGTTCCAAGTTGCGGATCAGTCTGGTGATGGCTTCTGGTATCAAGTACTCTTTTTACTGAAGCTGCATCAGGGTCCTGGTATGTGGCCGCACAAACGCTGGTGCTCAACACCAAGGGGCATGCGGTTACCCTGCACCAGACCCTGCTAATCTATTCCACACTGTGACTCCTAACTTCAACATCGGGCATACTGGGTCCCGGTCGTCCGACCGCCGCCCAGACAGTGTCTGGGTCCTGGTCACCAGACTGCCCACCTCACTGTGAAACTACGAATGGATCGTTAAATCTGGTACGAACCCGAACTCCTCAACCCTGCCCTCCTTGCCGGTATGCACACTGCAGAAAGCCACAGAAATTGGCACCGGTGTTTTTCCAGCATGTAAAGTCTGCAAAGGACATATGGAAATTGTTTTAGAATTTCCTCCAGGCAACAGTTTTCCCTATAAATTGACCTCTCAGTTTGACTTGTGAGGGTATTGCCCCAGAATTACAATATTGTTGAAGTACCTCTTAGCTATTGATCACTGGTTTAAATATAGCAGCTTGTTATCTGGTAGTTTCTAGTGTAGAATATATCAATCTGTTTTCTATCACTTACATCTGTGTAACAAGTGTTGTAGCTGTGAAACAATATTAACGATATGACCGATGTAGTAAATTTGAATCAAAGTTACGTTTCGATTTGACTCTCAGATATGAAGTGAACACTCCAAATATACTATTTAGCACCAAACATTTTTTTTTAAATTGACTTTTTAAAACTCCAATGTAAGCAGCAGATAAGCAGCAGATTAGCAGCAAAACAATTAGAATGTTTACAACTGCGCAGTAAGCACACTATTAGACGCTTTTATTTGACTCTCAGATATGAAGAGCAGGCCACAAAAAGTACTATTTAGCAGTTTAACAGCAAAGCAATTAAAATGTTTACAAGTGCGCTGTAAGCACACTATTAGACGCTTCTATTTGACTCTCAGATATGAAGTGCACCCCACTAAAATACTATTTAGCAGTTTAGGACCCAAAAAATCTTAAGTTTTAAAACTGCAATGTGACAGCAGTATTTGATGATTTTATTTGACTCTCAGATATGAAGTGCACCCCACTAATGTACTACCCCACTAATGTACTATTTAGCACCAAAATAATTTTACTTTTTAAAACTCCGATGAAACCGCGGTATTTGAAGCTTCTATTTGACGCTCAGATATGAAGTGTACCCCACCCCACTAATGTACTAGTTTGAAGAATTCTTTCCTAAGCTGTCCCTATCAGCGGCAGCATACTCTCCCTACACTAATTAGACCGCATGTGCGTTCGGCGCTACGCGACTCCAGCTTTTATATAGAGGCTGGGTCACATGCTGTATTGGCCAATCACAGCCATGCCATTAGTAGGCATGGCTGTGATGGCTTCTAAGGGCACACGAGTCAAACGCTTGTTGATTGGCTGCCCTGCAGCCTTTAAAAACGCGCCATTAAATCGCCGAACACTGAACTCCAACCTGAACATACAGTGATATGTCCGTCTTCGGGTCCGGGGTCCAAAAATCCTAATGTTCGGTACGAACCCGAACTTTACAGTTCGGGTTCGCTCAACTCTAGTTTTAATGCTAAGCAAGAGTCCCCAGCAGTTAAATCCCTTTGTGCTGCTTGGGCTAATGAGGATGCTTATCACAGCGCCCACTGCTGGTATGAATTTGTATGTAAACTGCCCAAAAATGGTTTAACTTACAATGAAAGGACAGTACTAGGGGGCTCCAGTCACTATAATCAGTTCAATGAGATCAAATTATAATAATGTGTTCCTTTAAATCTACAAACCTTCTCAGGATGGTTTTAGTCTAAACAGTGAAGAATACATTTGACATATCACAAAAGCTAACAAGGAAAGCAAACAAGTAATGTATCACGTATCTGTTTGCTTAGAAATGTAGATTTTCTAGCCCTGACATGACCATACATTCCTTTGTTTGATGAGAATATAATTCTAGAATAACTCAAACAATTAGCAAACAGCAAAGTATTTGAATAAACATTAACTGTTACCCGTGTAGTTTTATAAATATCTTGCTCAGCAGAATGGAGTTCGAAGTGAAAACCTGTATTCCTAACGTTGTAGTGCCCCTGTCTCTAGTTAAATACAGCACCCCCTCCCCCTTCATATAAAATTAGGAAAACAAAGTGATAAAGAATGGCCTCTTCCAGTGATGGTCCAATCCAAGGCTCCTCATCGATGACACGTGCGTACCCAAGCTTCCCCATAGAAAAACATTGCATTAGTTAGATTAAAAACAAAAGAAGGAAGGTATGTAGAAGAGGATAAAGGTCTAGCTAATGAATATTTTTGTTCAGTATTTACAGATGAAAATGAAGGAAAGGGACCTCAGTAAGGAAAAATGGCAAATGAGCCATTTATTACAAGTGAGTTTACAGAGAAAGAGGTTTTATTTCAACTGTCAAAAGTAAAGACAAATAAGTCAATGGGACCTGATGGAATACACCCAAAGTTATTAAAAGAGCTTAGTGGTGTACTAGCAAAACCATTAATAGATTTATTTAACCAATCATTGTTAACAGGAGTAGTCCTAGAAGATTGGAAGTTAGCAAATGTTGTATCCATTCACAAGAAAAGTAGTAGGGAGGAGTCGGGCAACTATAGGGCAGTAAGCCTTACTTTAGTAGTGGGGAAAGTGATGGAAACCATGTTAAAGGATAGGGTTGTTGAACATCTAAAAACACATGGATTTCAAGATCAGAGACAACATGGGTTTACTTCAGGGAGATCATGCCAAACTAATTCTATTGATTTTTTTGATTGGGTAACTAAGATAATAGATCAGGGTGGTGCAGTAGACATTGCTTACCTAGATTTCAGTAAGGCTTTTGACACTGTTGCACAGAGAAGGCTTATCAATAAATTGCAATGTTTAAGTTTGGATTCCAATATTGTTGAATGGGTAAGGCAGTGGCTGAGTGACAGGCAACAGAGGGTTGTAGTCAATGGAGTATATTCGAAGCTTGGGTTTGTCACCAGTGGGATACCTTAGGTATCTGTACTTGGACCCATTCTCTTTAATATTTTTATTAGTGATATTGCAGAAGGTCTTGATGGTAAGGTATGTCTTTTTGCTGATGATACTAAGATATGTAACAGGGTTGATGTTCCAGGAGGGATAAGCCAAATGGCAAATGATTTAGGTAAACTAGAAAATTGGTCAGAGTTGTGGCAACTGACATTTAATGTGGATAAGTGCAAGATAATGCATCTTGGACGTAAAAACCCAAGGGCAGAGAACAGAATATTTGATTCAACATCTGAGGAAAGGGATTTAAGGGTGATTATTTCTGATGACATAAAGGTAGGCAGACAATGTAATAGAGCAGCAGGAAATGCTAGCAGAATGCTTGGTTGTATAGGGAGAGGTATTAGCAGTAGAAAGAGGGAAGTGCTCATGCCATTGTACAGAACACTGGTGAGACCTCACTTGGAGTATTGTACACAGTACTGGAGACCGTATCTTCAGAAGGATTTGATACTTTAGAGAAAGTTCAGAGAAAGGCTACTAAACTGGTTCATGGATTGCAGGATAAAACTTACCTGTTCAAACTGAACTTAGCATTGGAAATAGACCGGCTGCACAGCCTCATTTTCTGGAACTGTTTTGGGCATGAAAATGTGCATGCGGTCGGTCAAAAGAGACGTCCAGGAATTTCTTGAACCCCTGCTCTGGGTGATTTTTGGATATGTTGTTCACCCAGATCAGGGCTATCCAGGGATGTTTAATTTATGGGGACATGTCGGAGTTTTGGGGTGTTTCTGTACTTTGGGTACAAATGTGTGTTTTCTGCCTGTGGGTAATTGAGTTAGTCCATTGTCTTTGTTAATTCCAGAGGGGAGGGTTTGTGTACAGTAACTGGGAGTGTTCAAATGTAAAAACTCTGTTTTTATTGGATTGTGCATTTCATGTCCTGTGCCCCACAAAGTCCACCTTGTGGGGGAAATACTGTATAAAATAAGCAGTTGTGCCATTAAACCTTCAGTTCTACTTCACTCTCAATCTAGAGTCCTGTCTCTAATTGGGGGATCTGCTACAAAGGATTGCTATGATCTTCATACTCCCTTGAATAATCACTAAACTCTTGTAAGAGCTTGTTCCTGTTCCTGCTTCACTCCCTGGGGAAAGAGAGGTTCACCCACTGGAAGCTGGAGCCTTATTGTAGGTCCAGGGTGGTTATGAGAGGGTGAGACCCCAGCAAAGCTGCGGCGGTTCATGGGGTCTGTAGTGCTTATGGTGTCAAGTTGAGTGCTTGAAGCTCTCTGGAAGCACTAGAAGCATCCGTCAATGGAGGTACCCAACCGGGGTACAGGAAGCTCTGTTACATCTATCAGTCAAATAACCTAAAATATTGTTCCCTGTAATATCAAACAGAGTGGAGTTGCTAGGTGGCATAATACCAGTGGCTTCAACCCAAGGGTGAATTTTATGGCCCCTCCCATATAGTTTTATTTGAGCCCCTCTAAAATGTCCCCGTTCTATCACGCTCTAACATCAACATGTTATTTGAATCACTTTATGACACCAAATCGTTAAATGATTTCAGAGTATTATAGAAACCTGTCCTTTCCCCAGCGTTAGGGGTAGATTTGAAAGTGTCAAGGAGATTATTGCATAATTCTGGTAATCTGTAGGAAATTAAAGATTGAGACATTTTCTTTTATAGTAAGGTAGACTAAATAAAGTGCTGGTACTTGATCGGAGGTTATAGGAGGTAGGAACAGCTGGGGAGAGCCTTCTACTCAGGTAGGGTGGGATCTTCCCAGAAAAGCTCTTAAACACAAGGCTGGAAAGATGAAGGATGCG